GGGTTTTGCTTTTTTGTGCAAATTAGGGCCTTTGTCATTTAAACCTCACCGGGGTTATAAAATTTAAATATGAAAGGAAAAACGAAAAGAATTCTGGTCATAGTAGTAAAATGACGCCATCGTGCAAATGGTCTATTCTTCCAATCATTGCAAGAAATCGCAGTCGAGTTTGTTTATTCTTGACAACAGAAAATTAAAAATTTTTATATTAAAGACGATAGTGCCAAATTATGGGTGGAAGTTATCATAGTTACTTTTTTAATGCAGTAGCGACCGTAGATGCCCTCACTGCGAGCAATAATGACACTAATTTTGTCGAAACTCAAACCATACATTTTGCATGACTATTAATTGTCGTTTCGTTTTGAGAGAATAAAAAAACTCGACTGCGATTTCTCGCATTGGCAAATTTTATCTTTTGCTTGCCTCCTCAAATACCACGCGAAATTGCTTTTATCCTATCTCCTAAAGCGCGTGCAAAGATGGCGGTATTAGTAAAATCCAACTAGTGGTCTATTATCAATGCTGCGTTCTGATTGGTTGAACTACTACTAGGCTATACGTTATAGCCCACTAGTAGCGAAAAGCCCACACTTTGAAAACCAAAACAATGGCGGCTGAATCGCGTTTTGTTGGCTAAAGTTGTTTTGTCTCGATATTTTTGACCAACTAGTTGGATTTTACGGGGAATTGTCTCAAACATATGTAATTTACTAACAGCTGGCCTTGATGAACTCTTGATAGTGTGAGCTGGGGAAAAGTGGATCTTCAAGTTCTCTGAAATAAACCCTCAGTAATCCAGCAACAGCGTTGATATCTTTCCAATGGTTCAAACCAGCTAATGGATCACGACCTAAAAACAACAATGATTAGGGGTAGTTGTTAACCAATCTACCATCAGGGTTTTATCTACAGTCGAACCTCTCCACAACGGCCGCCTCGGGGGCAGAAAAAAGTGGCCGTTATGGAGGTGTGGCCGTTAGTGGAGGTTCGACTGTAGTTAATGGTTAGTTGAAATCCTTGGATCAATTAACTGCCTATCTACCCCTCCCCTAAGCCAACATTAACACTTACTTCTCACTTAGGGAGAAATGATGGCTCAGGGGAGGGATAGGTGGGCAGTTGCCCAGAAACCTGAATAGATCCAAGGCTTTTTGTGATGATATGATTATGATGATGATGGCGACGATGATGAAGATGATAATAATGTTCATAATAATTACAACTGACATTACCATAAATACTAAAATACTTCTTGGTAATAATCGTTATAACATTTTACGTGGTTTTATCTTTTGACTCAAAGGATGAATTATTACTTGCATTGCCGAAGTTTACTTTAACCTTTTGGAGACCACTTTGGTCGTTCTCGTTCCATATCAAACGATGTATATGTTGTAGTTATTTTTTTACCTCAGGTAATTTTTATTTTTCCTTTGTTTTTGGGTCTGGTAATGTGTGCTAATGAAATTGAAACAAAAAAACAAAAAAAAATTACTTGAGATAAAAAATTAACTAGTACATTATAGATTTTACTTCCTGGACCCATTTAGCGATCAGTTTCTTAAAGAAAGTTCGAAATAGATAGGCAAAGAGGGAAGGAAAGAAAATGGCTTATACGCATGCGGAAAAATTAATCCGATTAGTCGGAAAATATTCCCTTTTGTTGCAAAACTCCTATCTTAGCCATTCTTATGCTAATTAGCCGAAAACCAGTCCCACAAATGTTCTGTTTTTCCAATACAGGTCACGTGATAACACTATAGAGAATTGTTTCTTTCACATTTCGTCTTTAATTCACCTGCATATCTACGCATAATTTATGAAAAGACAAAGGGTCAAGTTCCCCAGGACCTGTATTGGGAAAACAAACATACAAGCCAAACAGGCAAATTGGTGAAAAATGCGGTTTCTTCGCCACTCGCTGGCCGTCACCAAAGGGTTAAAGGTTTTTATGTATACGTTGTCTGGGCAAACGCTAAAGAACGTGATATAGCAATAAAGAAATTGCTCACAACATAGACCGTTCGGTTTCATTACCATTTTCGAATAGCTGTTTCATATCGTTAATTTCTGTTGTTGAACCCGACAAGCGAAATATTCCTTGATGGTCCAAACCTGTCAACAAACACAAAAGTAAAAGGAAAAACAAATTTACAACAAGAAACAAACAAACAAACAAACAAAAAAACCGGCTTTGCAACAACCTAAACAAACACAGAGATATTGTTTCGTCTTCTAAACAAGGATAAAATAGTACTGCATCCATTCAAAAAGCGCTGCTGCGCTATAAACAAATGCAATTCTTTCCTGTTATATTTGATTAAATAATAGATTTCACTTGAATAGAACTTGAATGGATATTAGAAAACTTTCCTTTAATGCGCACGTTCGACGACGGATATTCATACGAGGATTTCAAACGTTTGGGCGTCATACATCTTAACTCGTTGATTAAAACTTGGACAATCAGTGTAAACAAGGGACCGAACTTTCCTTTTATAAAGAGTCAACCGAAGAGGGTATTTTTTCATAAAGGCTAATAGTTAATTTACTCACCAAACTTTTTTATAAACTTGACACAACTTTCTACTACTTCAGGAATTTCCCTTCCTGTAATCTGCAAAAGAAAATACTTATTTTCTCGAAATATTTATGCCAAAACAATTTACAAAATAAGAGTGCAACTCTCTCGTTATTCATTAGGGAGCTTAAACAACGACGCCGGCAAAGTCAACGAGAACGGCAAAAAAGCAGTAGGTTTAGTTTGGCAAATCAACAACTTTGCACGTGCATCACGCTTTTTTGCACATTTCTTTGCAGTCATTGCACGACTACCACCACGTGAAAATGCCTAACACGTTTTGTGGAGAACGTGAACGCAAGACAATGACTTTCGTTTTCTTTTCCTGAACTTTGATAGAGTTTTTTCGAATTGAAATCGAGAAAAAAAATTGCTAACATTTGACGAATTGAACAAGATGGAATAAGCGCGATAAAGTTTGAAACAGTGCCACTTTACTCTTTAAGACCCTGTTTACACGGAGTGGGGGACCCCGGTCTAGTGGGGTAGGTTTCTTTTGTTTTGTGACTCCTAGAGCGTGAAAACAAAAGAAACCTACCCCACTAGACCGGGGTCCCCCACTCCATGTAAACAGGCCCTAAGTGACGTTTTCGTAACCGTCGCTGTCGTTGTTGCACGCTGTGCTTGGGAAGCTATCTCTCTACGACACCTAAAACTATGTTCACACCAAATTAATGGGCAGAATGTGTAGCCTGCGAACAGGTTACACAAGGTTACACAATGTCCCAGTGCTGAAGAACAAACTGTCAAATCTGTTAACGAAATCTGAGGGTACAACTCTTCAAATTAAACCTCTGTAGAAGTGCTTTCACATGGTTCTGTATATCAAGTACGTACTTCTAACTTTTCAAATCTGTGAATGAAATCTTATGGTGTATCCATTCAAATGAAATCTCTTTAACATGGCACGGCAGTATTTACTTTGTAAGTACTACTGACTTTTGAGTTGTGAATGAAATCCTATGGTGCAGTGACCCGTTCGAATAAAACTAGGGGAGAATACTAATACTAAACTAACAATACTTCCTTCCTTCAGTACTTAAAATTTAAAAACTAAGGACAAACACTCACCTTCAAATAATTTTCTAAATTACAACCGAAAACTTTGGTTTTCTTGTGTACAGAATCCAATATAGCTGAGGCCTCTTTGGAGCCTATGTCCAAATGTGGCCGTTTAAGCCTGTCACGGAATAAAACAATATGTTGCAGTTAAACGTTTTCTTTCTAGACAAAGTAATGGAGTAGCAGGGTTTGAGCTAGGATTTGATCACTGGGGGACAATTTGTCCCCTTGGCTAAAATTTTGGGGGACATTTTCATTTTTAGGGGGACAGAAATTTGTACACCCTTCTGCTGATCCAAAGGGGTTTGTCTTCTTAGCAGGACTTCTGATAGGTCTCGGAGAAAAAAGTCAAATTTCGGGGGATTTTTAGGGACAAATTCGCGGAAAAATCGGCTGATTTCGCGGGAGTTTTCGGGGCAAACTTCACCGAAAAGCAATCGGTAAAAAAACCGACGATTTTGTGGTTATTTTCAAGGCAAATTTCGCTAGAAATCGATCGGTTTTGCGCTGATCAGACCAGCCTTTTTAACGTTTTTCTAACAGAGGTCATCATTTGCTCTTTCAACAACAATACGCTCCAGAAATGAACCAGTGGCAAAGCCTTTAACATCATGGCTAGTGCCCAGTTTTTCGCAACATAATCTGTTTGCACGTTTCAAGATAAATTTGCAAGTTTACGGCAAGTAAATAGCCCCTATAGCTGAAATAAGTTTCAAATATGTTGTACAGACCTGTATTTGATAAGATTTCTACCGAATTTCGCGGCTCCGCGACCGCGCGAAGAATTAGAAGCCCTGTCTTAGATTTCCGACAAAAATAGCAGTAGAACGTGACTAAAACGTAACTTTGGAATGAACTTTAAAGGTGCGATAAAATATACTTTCCACGTTCTGTTTCAGAACGTTTGCAATTTCTGTACTAAAATAAATCTCTTCGTGTGTGCTTCCTTTCGAGTTTTTTCCCTAAATTTTGAAGGGGACAAATTGTCCCCTTGGCCGTTTTTTAAAGGGACAATTCCAATTGCAGTGCGGGATTGGCGCAATGGCGCGGCCTGGCTCAAACCCTGGAGTAGTCTGCTACACAGCCGTTTTTAGTGTCGTTACTCGTCACGCAATTGCGTGACGACACTAAAACGGCTGTGTAGCAGACCAGTTATGGAGAGATTCGCCTCTGAATCTTTTCTTTTCGGTTTTTGTTTTTGTTTTTTGATATCACTGTCTGTCACAATGAATTAATATCAGTTTTAAGCGTTTGTTTGCTTGTTTGTTTGTTTTTTTCACATACACGTCCGATTGCACATTGCTAGAGCTTCCACTGTATGTACTGGTCATGAAGTATTGATTTTGCTATTTGGAGATCGGAATGTGTTGTTTATCTTGGTGTAGGAGTCATTTGGATCTGTGCTTTTTTTCCCCCTCCATTGAGCACTAATTTTTAATATTTTGTGCTACGTTGGGGAATTTCCTAATCCTTCACTTTCGTTGCGCAAGCTCGTCAAGGCCACAAGGCCACATTCTTGTTCCTTTAGGTTAAAAACTGCGGTTTTGGCATTACGCTTGAACGGTTCTCCGTTACTTCTGCATTGGCCCACGGCGTTTTTTCCGCTTTAAAGGGTGACGGGTATTTCTTCTATTAGGTTAAATTTCATAGCAATTAAAAGGCAAAAATTGGCCAAACGGATTCAACTACAGTGACAAAATTAAAGTCCCTCGGGAATTTGCAACCAAACAATGCTGCCCCAAAGTAAACTCAATTATTATTACCTGGCTCCAACTATATCGGGTGTGACCTCTCCTGCAAACGTTTTATAATGACAAAACAGATCGTTATTAAATTTGAGTTCTATTACATACATGCATGACAGTAAATTCCCACACTAACCTCCCTCTCCCTCCACACGAAATGAAAGGCCCTTAAATGCTCAAAATTCAAAAGAGCCTCCGTGGCGGGGTAGGGGGGCTATTGCACTGGGAAGTCCAGATGTGACTACTGACACGCTACAGGTTGACTTTAATGATGATGTCGTGTTTCAATTTGCTAAGTTTAACAAGAATTTTCTAGTCTACAGTGAAAAACCCTGGACACCCCCTCCACCCCTTAATCCCCGCCAGCCACGAATAAAAACCCGTTAAAAGTAAAGGCCGGGAATCGGAAAGTGAACTATACGTATGTACTAACCCAGTGTCTTGGTGAGCATATCATTTTCAGCTTCCATTCTGACTTTTAAGCTGCTAGTAAGAATCAGTTCCCTCATTTTCTAAAGGTACAGAAGAAAAAAAAAACAATACTTCATAAAAATAATGATCGGCAACTCAAATCAGGAATGCCTTGGAAAATCCTCATAACTAATAACAAACACTGATTGGACGAGACAGAGTATGATGGCCGATAACACCATCCAAGAAAGGACATTTTTGGGATTCACGGATATCCTTCAAAGAGCGATCAACATCCTTCGCGTTCCTGCTGTGTTATTGAGTTTCATGGTTGGTTTTGAAGTTTGGGGGAACAAAAAAGTAAAATGTTTTATTCATTCCTGACACTCAAGGAATTTTAATCGATTTTATTCCACCGAGACTCAGAGCGAGGTATGAATTTTTATATCCTGAAATTAGTCTATATTTAAACCTTGGTAATCTACAGGGGTAATAATATGTAAAAACCAATACAAGACCGTGAAGTGTTAAACTTACCACAATAAAGTACAATTCTAAATCTTCACTGCTATTCTTGATAGATGTACAACTAGCACTGCCAGAAGCGTTGTCAATTTCACCATTGGCCATCCTCATCATCTCATTATCCCACTGTCGATACATTTCACTCAGAGCATCCGAGGTTGCTTCTGCCGTCTTTTCAATCTAGAGAGATACCAGGAAGGTCATCAAAGAGTCAAAAGTGGATATTTTCGGTTGTTTATCATTATTTTATTATCTTTTAGCCTTGGAAAAATAAAATGTTGTGCTTGCAATACATTGATGTACCCAGAAAAGAAATTATGATACATTGTATCAGAAGCATGAAACAACTAACGTCATCATACACTAGACGTCAAGAAGGCAAGAAAAACGCGATCCATATGCTGCAGTGTTTGATAACTTGATTTTGAGGAGAAAAGTATGGGTGCCAATAGGCATGGTACCTGACTTCCTTTCCTGCCTATTAGCAGACACCTCTATAAACTCTATTATTTTTCATTCAAAATATTTCTCCGTTTCTGATTGGCGAAAATTACACGCATAATTCATCATAACCAGCTCTTGTTGACCAAATTTGGAAAAATTTTGCCATATTGAACCAATGACGTCAAAAGTGCAGCAAAATTGCAGATTATTGAACCATTAACCAAGAAAACCTGGGGACGAGTTTGAGTGGTTTTCGAAGTGAGTAATGGCAGAACATTTTACTCATTTCACAACGAACTATGGTCTAATAAACATAGCAAGAACAGCAAGAAGAGAACTCGACAGATGACATCTGATATTTGGAGTATATTTGCAGACCTGGACAGCCCATTATCTCCTAAACTTCCCGATAAAGATGTACTATAGATATGAACTTAACATCGACCGAGGTAAGTATGTTTTAACTTGTTTTTAAACTTGGAATTATTTTCGTCCTTGGTGGATAACACTCTCCTCAATCTGCAGAATTCTTTATATCCTACAAAAGCAGAATTCAATAATTGCTAATGAGACAGACGTCTCTTTGAGACAGACACCAGACAGAACCCTCTGTGGTTGGGATGGTCCCAACAGTGTCTGTCTTGGATAGAGTTTACTGCACTAAAGAATATAAGGATTATTTTTCTCAGGCATGGGTTATGTGAGCTATTTTAGTTTCGCTATAAAGTTTATGAATTTACAAATGTGTGCTTCCTCACAAACACCTAAACAAATAAACAAAACCGTAACAACATTCAAACAAGGCACCGACCTCCTCAGTTTCAGCTCGTATTTTTTGAAGTCTCTCATAGACTCTATAATGATGTTCTATGACATCTGTCTGCTGAGGTGACACCTGATTTAACTGTGGAAAAAAGCAAAAAGCAATTCCCTCAATTCGTGTGATGATAAGGGACTTTTCTTGAGTTTCAACTTTGGCTTCTTTTTAGAGTGAAAGGATTCAATAAAACAAGGTACCACTGAGTCATTTTTCACAACTTCAACGTGTCTGGATAACAAATGAACCACTGTATTGAGTGTCTAACAAAAAGACAACAATTCTGGCAGAAATTCATAAATTAAGTTCACAAAACTTTATGGTTTTCCAGTTCCAAAATCTAACTCACAGTACTGAGGCCTTGTAAGGGTACAGTTTGACAAGCATCGGCTTTGAAACAGTGACGTACAGCTGTACATGTGAGACTGATAAAATGGCAACCAACAACACAAAGATTGGTTGCAGCTGTGATAGCGATGAGGACCATCACAACTACAATAGTAAAATTCCAAAAGAGACATGGACAAGAGCCTCCTTTTCAATACACAAGTGACCGATTTTGAAGTTCAGACTAGGGACATAGCTACCCCTCCCCTCCCCTAACCCCCCACCACTCCCTCCTCAGGGGGTCTTAGTACTGGTTGATACACGTACTCTGCGTTCTCTTCAAGAATCATTACTGAGTTTGAAAATCAAAGAAAACTAACAGAACATGCCTCTTCATCGTTGTATGGAAGAAAAGCAAAAGTGAATGGCAAGGCAAGGGCTCCATGGCTGTCTTCAAAGAAGTAGTGCTTATCCTTTTCAGCTAGCACAGAAAGCTTTCCTTCACGTATGCTGTCAGCAGATTGAATTGTTGCACTTGCAAGGGTGGCTTCTGCTGTAGTGTATGCCTCTATGCCTCTTTTGAAGGAGTCGTGATAATTGGTGTCAAAACCCTACAATAACAGATTTTACAAGAGGTTGTAAGTTTATAAACACTTGGCTACATTTTGAATGTAAAGTCAAACCTTAATACGGACAATGAGGAGGCTATATATAGAAAGCGCCTGTATTGATAGATTGTCTGTATTAAGTGGGTTGAATTAAGAGGAAATGTAAGGAAGGCTGGGGCTTTCAAGAGGTTTTCCTACAAGTACTCTGGTTTCCCCTTCTCTTGAAAAACAATAATTTCTTGGAGTGAGTATGATCATCCAGGTGAAAGTAGCTCTGAACAGGACTGTTGTTGACAGTGACTGACATTTTGACAACCTGTGAGGTAGTCATTTTCGGAGTCAAACGTTTCACAGTCATTTCTTAATTCCAATTTTGTTTGTAATGGTTTATGTGATGAACCACCACTGTCCAATTATGGAAAGGATCCTCACAAACAACTTGCACTAACGATGGCCAGGGTTTTAAGGTGGCTCGGCTGGATATTTTGGGGTTGATACCTCCCAACTTTGAGCATTAACTATGTCGGCATGAGCAAAGATATGGAAAAAAGGTTACCACAACTGTATTATATAAAGATGAAAATTTCTTATGATCTGGGTTTTATTGCAATCGGAGTCGCCATGGCAACGTAATGACACCATTACGTTTTTCATTTATCTTTGTGTTTCTCTGTTCCAGGAGTTTTTGGAAGAAATCGCTTTAGGAAGTATGTACCTGCTATAATTGTCTCCATTATGGCATAATTTGAACAAATTCTATGAGAGCGTTTTCGAAATATTTTGAAGTGTAGTTCTAATAATAATAAAAACAGTGAAATAGCATGCTAGCCATACAATTCGCTAATATTTTAAGAAAATGATAAGCTTTGGGAACAAGGCTTCATCTCATAGTGATTTGATTCCATTGAAAACTGAGTACAAAAAAAGAGGGGAATTGCTCTGGGCGATCGCGAGTAAGAAGAATTTTATTAACTTGCATTCAGCTGCTTTCGATAAAGTTTTTGGATGTAATTTGGTCCATGCCTAAAAATTTCGCATTTTTCCAAAAACCGCTTGATAAATTTTTTTATAAATTCGATAATCCCGAGATCAATCGTCAAGAAATATTCCCTGCAAGTTTCAAGAACATTGAAAATAGGGAAGGCTTTTAAATAGGGCCTCAATTATAACCAATTTTCCCCCCAGATTTTGTGTTTACAAGTGAGCGTCCTCATTATTCACTGGCATTGTTTTCAAGTTTCATATACATGTATATTTCACTCTCATAGAATTTGTTCAAATTATGCCATAATGGAGGCAATTATAGCAGGTACATACTCCCTAAAGCGATTTCTTCAAAAAAACTCCTGGAACAGAGAAACACAAAGATAAATGAAAAAGGTAATGGCGTCATTACGTTGCCATGACGACTCTGATTGCAATAAAACCCAGATCATAAGAAATTTTCATCTTTATATAATACAGTTGTGGTAACCTTTTTTCCATATCTTTACTCATGCCGACGTAGTTAATGCTCAAAGTTGGGAGGTATCAACCCCAAAAAATCCAGTCGAGCCACCTTAAGTTGAACATTCCGTTCAGGGCCCAGTTGTTTGAACACTGGTTAGCGCTAACCCGGGATTAAATTCTAACCCAGGTTTCTTTTTCTTTTTATCAAAAGCAGCACTCTCTCCGATAATCCAATCATCAAATTGTAGGCAAAGAGAATTAAACTGAATTTACTTTTTAAGCTCCCATATCAGAGTTCAAATTTCACGCTAACCCTTGCTTGGTTATCTTAACCCAGCTTCAAAACAACCCGACCCAGGTTGTTAAGCCAACCAGTTAACCCCTTAAGCTCCAACATCCAAATACAAATTCTCCAGATCAATGTCCATACAAATTCCTTTACGAGTTACATGTAGTTGAGAAAATCCGTTTAAAGATCAGCAAATTTCCCTTGGTCATTGATTTACTACATGCAATTCTCATGGCCTTTTGTCGTGATTATGTATTCATTATTGTTAGGAGAAAATTCGCATTGGTCATCCTTGGTACTAAAAGGGTTGAGCAAACCATGATAAAAAACAAGACAATCCATTTGAATGCTTTACACACCCAAAACAAACTATTTTCCCTAACCTATTCAAAGCATTAATTTTTAAATGAAATCACTATACAGGGTTTTCAATAAGAGCCAGCAGCCAGCAAAATTCACCAGCTATTTCACGTGAACTAGTAGCCTACTTTTCTTTGGAAATTACTCCCCAAAAAGCCAAAATTTAATGATGTCTGTGTTCTGTTCAAACACTCTAATTTTTGCTCCAGAATGCTGGAAATGCACTCTAAGAGGCTCAGATTTTCAAATTTTTCCAGGGGGGATGCAGCCGGACCCGCATGTAACTCGCTCTTACAGCGCTTGCGAGTTTTTTCCTTCTCCGCCTACTCCAAAGCTTTTAACACCTACTTAAAACCTTACTGAAAACCCTACAACACTTTTAAAAGGCCATTTGGTATCCATTTGTTAGCTATTTAGTCAATGGATACAATATGATAATACTTACATCCACCAAAGTACCAAGGAACTTGTTGTAATAGTTTTCCAGGAAGCGGTTTGTGGACGTCAGTGACAAGACATAGTCATTCTTCGCTTTTGTGCATCTCTTCTTGCTTTCTGAAAATTTCTGTTGGTGCTACAAAAAGCAGTCATTAGTTTGAATGATGTCAAAAGCAACATTCTGATACAGTCAAAAATTGTTTCCTTTTTTTCATGAATCTACAAACAAGATGAGCAGGGGTGGGGTACTGGTGAGAGCACTTGCCTCCCACCAATGTGGCCTGAGTTCATTTCAAATCCTGGCATGGACCGCAAATGTGGGTTGAGTTCAGGGTTGTCAAAAGTAGCCAGCTGCCAGCAAAAATCGCTGCCTACTTGGTTAGTATGGGCTGGCTACTCTGCTTGGCAATTCTTTACGGATGCAGGGTGCAAAGAAAATCTTTTTTACAGCTTTCCATTCGGGCAAGCTGAAACTAGCATTTACTAGCCCAGACGTCATTTCAACTAGCCCCCAAAACTTTTTGTTCTTCTGTTATTCAAATTCCTCATAAAACATCACTTGCCCGTCGGGCAAGTCAAAAACAGAATAGCAAAATCCACTAGCCCCGGGCTATCGGACGGTACTTTCTCTGCACGATGCGGATGGCATTTTGTAAAATAAAATATTCCTGGACTGGCTGCTTACTTTGACAACTCAGCCGTCTACTTCAAAACTTTCTGACAACCCTGTGAGTTTGTTGTTGGTTCTCTCCGGACTCTTTTGCTATGAGAGGTTTTTCTCCTTGTACTCTGGTTTTCTCCTCTCCTCAAAAACCAACATTTCCAAATTCCAGTTCATCCAGAATGGTAGGCGAAAAACCCACTTATGTGGATGTGCTACCTCTAAATTGTTACAATGCATTTATTTATTTATTTATTTATGTATTACAGAAAAAAAACAGGGTGCATGCACAAGGAAATAAACTTTTACCTGCCTACAACTTGAAAGATAAGGGCCTATAAAAAATAATTAACTTTACCAGGCTACTGTGCATTAACTAATTATTACTCATTGTCAGTTATTGTTGTTTATGGGCATGATGTCTCCCTCACTGAGCAAGAGTCAAGAATTCAAAGCTCTTCAAATAGAAACCTAAACGATTCCTTAAAAACTTCTCTATACATTACAACTGTAGGTACCTTTTCAAACTGCTTCGCCATTTTTTCATTCTTACGACGTGAGTCTTCCATCTTTTGTAGTTTCTGCTCTGCAGTTTTGCTTTCAACAGCCATGGAGTGATAGCGGTGAAAACGCTGGGAAAAAAAAATGAACAAATCTTGCCACATAAATTTTGACTGAAGTACGTGTGAAAACAGTAAATTAATGTTTGTTCCAAAGATGTTCTTCAAAGTGGGAGAAGCGAAGTTCCTCTGACTGTGGCATGTATTCATGATTCAACAGTGGTTTTGACTTAGACAGATAACTGCAGTACTCTCTGATAAAAACAGCACGTGTGTGTAAAAAATAACATTATTGACGCCGTATAATGCTTTAACTATTTAAAAAGAAGAAACTTACAACAAGATCAAAAAGTTAATTTGTCATGACTGCTTACCCGGTTAAGTTCCTGCACTGACTTTTGTAGCTCATCTTGCAGAGTTGTTGCTGTCTCCCGGCACTGCAAAAAGTAAATTATATGCCTTCCATATTAGCATGTTGTTACCTTTTTACCTTAAATGCAAACAGTTTACTAAGGTGGAAAAACTTTTTACAGTGTGCATGTAAATTCGCTTAACCTCTGAGCCTGAGAGGAGCAAATTCTTGACTTTATATCTACATAATATTTTTCTATAAAATGACAGCATAATAATATTAATAAAGGGTACACTTCAGATCCCTGATAAATAGCAAACAATCTCACTCAAAATGCAACATTAATATTCAAAATAATAATTTAAAAATTTATAGCACACAAATAGCTATGTACATACTGAATATTATAATCAAATCCACAGTAACAAATAAATAACTTGTAAAATATTGTAAACTTTGAGAAAAAACCTTTCACCATAGCATTAGTAGGCTATTTTCTAAAACTCTCGCTTTCAAAACAAGACTAAGTGCAAAACTTTTCCAGTAAAAATAGGTTTTAATAAATTGCATGAGAATGAACACAATTACGGCTGAGGGCAACTTGGAAATCACCTTTTTGGGTTTGATAACAAGTTGAACATAAACAGAGTCACAAAATTAAGCTGATTTGAGAAAGGCCATGCTCTAAGAAAAATTGAAGGGAGCCCAACACTCTGAACCTACAAAATCCAGGGTACCCAGCATACATGAGTATTACTTCTATGCAAAAAGTTAGAGCTGCTTGTCATCCAAGAGCGAGGCTGTGCTCTAAGGAAAATTGAAGGGAGCCCAGTGCTCTGAAACTGTAAAATCTGGGGTGCCCAGCATATGATTTGTATGAAAAATCTGAGTTTTTCTAGTCGCCCGAGGGCAAAAGTTAGGCGCCAGAGGCCACTGGGCTCTGCTAGAGCACAGGCCTGAAGAGTATACACAATAGTCGGTGCCATGAGCTGCAAGTTCTGGGTACCACTGGGCACTGTCTTGTTTGTTTGCTTGGAAACCAAGTCCCAATAGTGACCAACATCAATTTTCTCCTTATATCCATACGATGTCAAGAGATTAGGTTATGAGAATCAACACAATGATCACCTAAGATAAAATGCTTTGATCTTTTATCAAATTCTCTCAACTCATTCATGAAGGAAAGGTATGGAGATCAGTTTGGAGAATTTGTATGTGGATATTGGGGCTTAAAGGGGCAGTCAAAAACTAAATAGTCACCTTTTTGGCTACTCTCTGACAGTCATCACTTATAATCATAAACCTGTTCACCACATTATTGGAAACATTCTCACTTAGGCCTAAATGCATTTTAGATTTGTTCTTTGTTTCCATTAGTACTTGTTGCCATAAATCCATTGTTGTCCCTTTTTCCTTCCTAAACATAAGACAGTAACAGGAACAATGACTGTTAAGAGATGCACTTAACCAGGGATGTAGCCATAAAAAAAGCTAAAGAGCATTTTTTTCTTGCTTAACTGCATATTCAGGATTACCCCATATCTCCCTTTCAGCCAGTGATATTAGCCAAAGCTGGCTCTTATAGCTACATCCCTGCTCAACAGAATACGTTAGGTAGGTGGAACAAAATTTAATGGTTAACTCCTGGATGTACGATGGGCACTTAAGCCCAACTCATATAAAAGTATCACCTCTAAACATTGAATTTAAACCGTTTAATTAAATAGCTAGTTGACATGTTTATTGTTGTTGTTGTTGTTGTTCTATGCATATTAGCATGTATGGCAGGCATCTGAAAGGGAGGGGATTCCAGGCGCCCAAGAAACACATAGTAGGCATACAAGGCATTCTTGCAGGCATTCCTCTCCTCCCTTCTCCCCCGCATGCAGTCTCACACCCAAATTCCCTTCCCTTTTGCTTTTGAATGCCTGCCACACAGGCTATATGTGTATGTGCTCATTGTTGTTTGATCACATAGTCTTTCCATATGAAAGTAAACTGTGAACTTAGAAACAACTTTTATCACTGTACAGGTCTGTCATTATTTATTGTGGTTCAAAGTTCAGTTTTTATCGATTGCCTTCGTGTCATGTAGAGTTACATGCACAGCTATTTGACACAGTTAATGTCAAATATCAACAATCAAAATAAACTGCAACTGATTCAGATTATTTGAAATGTCATGCTTTACTTGCAACACTTCACTTTCCATTGGAAACTACTAGTTGTTACAAGTTAGTCCATTAAGATTTGAGTGTTTCATATAATGCAAAAAAACTATGGCATTATGACAGTACCTTTGAGTCTTATGTCTATGTAGTTTGTCCAAGTACATCTTTGAAAGCCGCTCAAGGTTTCTGGAGTAATCCAACTCAATTTCTGACAACCTCCTGAAAAACTCCTGTAAGTCTGCCAGTAACAGAACTTTACCTTCCGTTCTGCTGTCAAAGCATTTTAGTTGTTCTATAAGAATCTGCCGTACCTCTGGAAGATGAAATAAAAACAATTATTAAAAACTGAATTATTGGATAATGCAATTCTAGAGCTTTGATTGGCTTTGCCGTCATGGTATATGAGCCATTATACCATTCTCGCCAAATATGGTAACTGTGCGCATCTGTTCAAAATTAAAAACAAGCCAAAAGTCGGTTGTTTTAACAAATAAATTCAGGAGGAATTTCAGATTTTTTGTAGGCGTTTTTAAACAATTACTCCACTCACGCTTGTGGATATGAGATGATTACAGCCAACTCGGTACTATGCCCCTCGTTGGCTATCTACCATCTCATATCCAATGCGCACTCGTGGATTATTGTTAATTATTATTCATTTAAAATATTTCAATGTTTCTGATTGACTCTAATCACCCAGCTACTTCTTCATAACCAACTGGCACTTAAAATATATGGAAGATACCAGCAATATACAGCCCTGTCCCATTGATTTGATGGTGTATTTACTTGGAAACAAGGTTGATCGATGGTTTACTGTATTTGCCTAGAAAAACGGCAGCTTGTACAAAGTGAACTAAAAAATGGCTTTCAAGGCTGTCTGAAGATGAAATAGCCGAATTTCTGACCAAAACTGAACGGAACAAATTAGTATAAGCATGAATGTTACAAGTATCTATTTTTGAGGAGTATCTATCAGAGAAAGCAATATTCTGTTTATATCCTGAAACTATGCCGAGATATAGGTCAAAGTTTTTAAGAAAGTCTATGAGGATGTAAGCTTGTTAAGAATTTAGAAATAATTAATTGAATGTCGAAGAATAAAAGAATAATTATTGAATTTGGCTTTCGTATGATGTGAAGAATTACATGTGTATGCTGATCTTGCAGGTTGTTATCCTGCATCTGTATCATTCTTCACATCACACTCAGCCTCGTTCAATAACAACAAAAATAAATTGTTAATTAATCTACTAGTTAACTCCACAACTGTTAGAAGCTTCTAAAGAATGGACACCTCTATAACAATCACATTTAGTCATGTCCGTCTCTGTATTTAGGTGTTTTAAGGACTTGACTACAATAAATTGATGATCAGCATACCACAACAGGAAATGATTTCATAATAGGAAGGAAAAAAAAAAACAAATAATGGCTGTTCAATGTCTATCTTTAGGCATCAAACTACCTCTTAAGTGGATTAATAAATAATGTATTTCATTTTTGATAGACCATTAACTACCCAAAGATAAGCATTGAGTACCACCACATAAAGATTATACAGATTTTGAAATAGCATCTATAATTTAGACACTACAAACAGTTATTCAGTATCATGTTTTGACAGGATAAATTTGCTACCTACATTTTCCTTTATAGTTGAATTAAAGGAAAATTCAAATGTACTCTATTGACTATACGCTTGCTTTTCCACAGATCAATTCTCAAATCAATGGAATTTAGAAAAAGTAAAACTGAATTGAAACTAAATATATCCACAGCACTTGAAACAAGTTGTTTTTTAGACACAATACAAATGCTAGTGTTGTTAGGGGGAAAAAAACAAACTATGGAGGCAATAGTTTTTCAAAGAAACCCTTTAAATCTTTGTACACTCTTTTATCCATGGATATGCCCAATACAAATGGAGTAAATTAATTTAACTGCGTGAACAGATTTCGTGACCTGAAACAACAAAGTACTTCAGTGATAGATTAAAAGCTTATTGTTTCAAAGTTCGTGTATCGACAACTCCGGTAAAATTTCATGGTTATAAACTTCATCACATGCCCAATCTCACAACGAATTTGTGGTCAGGAGTTTACGATAGGGTTAATACAGAATCCGTAAATTTAATAGGAATTTAAAGACTTCAATTAATTTGAGCGTACAACTCAAACATATGCATTGGATTCAGGTACAGTACGAAAAAATTTGTCAAGTCAAGAAGCCATGAAAATTTTAAGAAGAAAACAAGGTACTAAATGCTAAATATTTTATACATTTCACGTCTCACGAATAAATGAACATAAAAGGTAGTTTGTGAATGCTTGCGGCGGTCAAAAATAACTACAAAGACCAAACTAAACGAAACATTCAAGCACAGCTACTGTGGAATCTACGATAAGGTCAAATTTTGTAGTGGTTTAAATATTAATGGCTCTAAACCAGGTTTTTATTCAATAAATTTAAGCGAAACCTCTAAAATTCCACATCCAACAAAATAAGCTTAGTTGTATTTGCACAGAGAAGAAATTAAGCTTACTTTCAGTTTACGCTCCAAAACTGGCCATGTATGGTAATTTAATAGGACACCTCAACGTGGAAACACAGTTAAATGGCAGTTTGTCAAAATTCTCACAGGTCTGGTCGTAAATGAAATTATTTCTCTCTGAACACAGAAGTTTGATGCAAAATAAAACTTCCAGGAGCTTGCTTATTTTATAAGTTTAAGCTTCAGTTTTATATACCTGTACATTTGTATTCGGTCTCAATTTTATCGCATGATCCATTATAAACCATTATTGGAGATTGAAGCTACCACTTACATCTTCGATGTCTAAATTTCTTGCTTAAGGCAAAGGAAGGCGGCTTGTTTGCTTGATTTAACCTTATAAGAAGGACCAAACTAACCCAATATTTAATTTGCCACAACCTTGTACCTTCCACGCGCCTTTTCTGACCGAGAGCGTGGACGGCAATGCGCCTCTTGAGTCCCCAAAGATCGCAGATTTATATCATCCCGGAAGCGATTCGAGGCGAATACTTCACTTTATTCCCCACATAGTATTTATACTAACAACTCATTAAATTCACCGCCTATGGCAGTGCCGTTTATCACAGGACCTATCTAACAACGTACCTTTCGTTTGTGTATCGAACTCGAGCACGGCCGCCTTGCCCTTCTTGCCACTACTCGTCATTTTAGTGACTTAAAATTGCTCTTCACTATGCCATCGTGATATAATGATGATCAGGTTTTATGAAGGAAGGAATTCACCAGCTTATGGTTTGTGTTTCGACCAAGAAACCTTTGTTTTGAGACCAGAAATCACACATTTACGAGTGCTGACTGGCCGGAAGGAAATTTCGCTGCTTCGTAATACTGGACTCAGGCCCAGGCTTAACCGATCGTGTTTAACGAAAGCGAGGCACCATTTTTTCCTAGGTTCGGGGTCGGTTTTTTTGTTTGTTTGTTTGTTTTTGTTTTTGTTTTTGTTTTTTGTTTCGAGGTTGCTGGAATAGAAATGATTAAATTGAACAAAATAAAAAAAAAGTAGCACTTTCAAGGTTCATGAGTGTATCGGCCTGTGGGCAGGGCATTCCTCTTCATGTTCTGCCATCGAATTCGGCAAGGGTACAAAAAATACCTGCTCTAGCAACCGCCTTAATTAGCCTGTGAGCAGATCTTCCCTAGTATTCAGTTTAACTTTGCTGTGAAAAGAAAAGGCGAGGGGCGATCGATTGGGAGGGGGGATTTTTTCTCTTTGCCAACGTACCAGCTTTTCTTATATCTCTTTGAATGCTCCGGTATCATTGGTCAGCCCCGTTTTAGAACTGGAAATGACTAGGTTATCCTTTTCAGAGAAAATAAAGTACTATTTTTAAATTGTATTCCGCCGGAAAAGCTGCTCACTTAGACAAATAAAATATAAAGCTGGCAAAGAGTCAGTTTTCTGCAAATAAGGGATAATCCTGTTAACAAAGAAAATAAAGTATTATTGAATAGTTAATAATTGGCTTGTCACATGTTGACTGTTGTCATTTCCGCGAAGATATATACGTGCTGACCCATTTGAAATTGGATCATACATTGATCAAAATGGCGATTGCTCTCAATTGTTCATGTTTTTCATCCAGGAGCTAAATTCGAGAGGAAGCTAGAAGGTAAATGCAGTCTTAATTAATCTATTTTTTGCTATTTTTCCGATTGTCTATTTCTCGTAATTAGCTTCTCTAGTTTATAAATATCTACAGACAAAACCGGCGCTCCTATTGACTTCAGACCGAAATTAATATTTTCGCTCTTTTTATTGAGGGCATGTTGCTTTACATTTGCTTCGTATGTTTTACTGGAAACAGTTTACTAAGTTTTCTTTACTGAGCCACGCTGAGGTTCAGTTACTCAATGCTGACAAGGTATATAAACGTAGTTTCCGCAGTGCTGTGGGGAAATTGGCTGTATGATTTATCACACTTCCCTTGACTTCCCGTATATCATTGTCGGTGCGCGATGATTTGCTCGATTAAGTAAGCCGGGATGCTGGCTTCTAGTCTGATAGAGGTCTGAATCAGCGACTGCAATTAGTATGAAAAGAATTTCTTGGGTAGGCAAAATATTAAGGGTGCCTCGTTGAATCCTTTCAGCGATCATTTGATGTATTCTCACTACCCTCGTTTTTAAGTAATGTTTTTAAAATTAAAGTGAAAAAATAATAATAATTTTATGGTCAAGGGACGAGTCACCAGGGAACACGTGTGCACCCCTGCCAGTATCAAAAAAATTAAGTAAGATCTTGCGTACGTGCATTGGAAATCATAAAGATAGAAAGGAAGGATGAGGGAAAAGGTCTTTACCTGAGTCTTTCCAGTTGACAATATACAAAAACTCTTGGGAAAAAAGGAAATTACCGATGCGGACTTCTTACATGCTTTTGTTTTGTTTTTTTTTTTTCTGCACTGAACTTGAACTTTGATGTAAACACATGGTGACCGCGCGTGATCTCGGGCGAGATATGATCGAGGACAGGGAAGTGGAGGAAAAATACCGTAAAACTCCGAAAATAAGCCCCTCCAAATATAAATCTCCCAAATTCGTAACGCAAAAAATCTTCCGTTAAATCGCTCCTCCAAATATAAGCCCCCCGGGGGCTTGTACTTGGAAATTGCCCTCAAATACAAAGTAAAACAAAGCAAAAACGGTAAATTTCCATCCAACTATAAGGCTAGCCCAATCGATTTTGAAATGAAAATTTCCCTAGATAAGCCCCTCCGAAAATAAACCCCTCAAAAAGGGCCTTTGAAAAATATAAGCCCCGGGGCTTATTTTCGGAATTTTACACTATCACTATGCAAATAAGATTGAGTTGTAATGATTATTTCTTACTGTTAGTATAACAACTCAAAATCTTAAACGTCGATAAAACGTCACGGCTTCCAAATGGCTCAAGAAGCAAAGAGACAGTAAATAACAAAACACGCACAGTAAAAAAAAAATGGAATTTAGGGCTTATTTTGTTTATTTTCATACATTCTCTTATAAATTCAACGTCTAACGAACTCCCCCAGAGTCTGGACCGCCTGTGGTGCATCGTAAAAATCGCGGAACTAACGATCTCTCAAGAGTAACTCGAAACTCCTGAAGAGTAGAGAGCCGAACCCAGCTGCACCAGGTTATTGATCAGAATCAAAAGAAGCGGCTGAAGTTCTAGTTCAAGCTTCGACGCTATTCCCAACAATTATGTCGCCGACAGAATGCAAGCAAATAGCGTGAATTTGAAACATTAACTTGGAAAAAAGCTGATGTTTTAACTTGCTCTGAATGTTATCAAACTCTACTAACAAACATGAGTTTGCAAAGGGAGACGGGCTCTTGTTTGCGCTTCATTCCTACTAGTGGGGCGGATAAGTGCAGATTTGGGGCCGGATTGTTCACTTTTTGTTACAAGCACCAAATTTTCAGGAATGACAGAACTATTTATGTTCATTAATATGTTGCCTGCGTGCAGACGTCTCCTATTTCCTTTGTTGCACGCGGAAAAGGTCCCTTTTCCGCGTGCAACAAAGGAAATAGGAGATATGTGATATGGTGCCATCGCAAATTTTGCCTGTTAAACTGGTTTTTGGAGTGAAAATTAAACTGGCCGCCATTTTGACAGGAAGTAAATATCATCTAACCGAAAGTAAACAAAATTAAGCATTTTTTTAAAGCCAATGTGACGACGAAACTGTTTATTATATAAACGAATCGTCGCTATTGTGGGATATCGGTGCCCTCCCAAATTTTTCCTGTTAAACCCTTTTTTTGGCGTTATTACTAAATTGGCCGCCATTTTGACCGAAGTTAAATATCACCTAACCGAAAGTACACGAAATTTAGCATGTTGAGGTCAAAATGACGACGAAATTGTTTGTTCTATGTTTTCCCGGATATATATTTTTATGTCGTTTAAAAAAGTCAACTGTGTTACAAATTAGCGGTTTAAATTAGAAAAGTAAAAGCGGGATAAAATGGAAAATGCAACTCATTGAAAGAAATTCATTTCAGTAGTGAATTTAAAAAAAATGTGAAACAATGATTCACATTTTTAAGCAAAGGAAAGTGACCAACACCAATTTTCTTCTGACGATATCCATATATTGTCAAGAGATTAGGTTATGAGAATTAATAAAATGATCACCTAAGAGAAAAAGCTTTGATCTTTTATCAAATTCTCTCAACTTATCCGTTTAAGGAAATGTATAGAGATCAGTTTGACGAATTTGTAAGTGTTAAAAAGCATTTATTGTTACGCAACACAAGGCAGATTCCCTTCTTTTAAGATATAATATTTTAAAATATAAGTTAAGTCTCTATGTTGATTGTGTCCAAGACATTTTCGTTGAGTTTACTCTCCGTTCTAACTACCTATGAAGCTTCCCTACTATGAAGCCAAGTTAGCTTCCCTATCATATATCTTGGTACTGATGTACATCTACGCTACCTTGCAGCCTACGAGATTGCTAGCGTATTTACTAAAAATGCTGCACTTGCACTTCCTCCGTTCCATGCATTCACAGGATGTGACAAGGTGAATACTTCTGGTCACCTCTAGAAATAATCGGAGTTTTTTTTTTTGCTTACAAGTTCTTCTATACGATAGAAAAAGAGTTCTTTACCGTCAACTGACAGAGCCAAAAGTAGTTTCTTTAATCCGGCCTGAATTACTTAAACTTTTCAAGGGCACGACAAACCATGCTGGCCACATATCAGGGGCACCCAACGTCAATTTTCGGAAAATATCTGTTCGGAAGACGATTTGAGATCTCGAATTTTCGGAACATTTGTTGTAAAATTTCTTGCTTGCCTGCCTCTCCTAAGATTTTCGAACATCTAAAAAATGATATTATTGCCCATTTTTAACGGATTTTTACCCTAAACAGGTCGCCTAGAATTTTCGGGAGCCTTTTTTCTGGCTGAAAATTTCGAAAAGGAAAGTTTTGATCCCTATAATTTTCGAATCACTAGACTTTCAGCCAGGAAATCCGAACAGATGAAAAATTTACAGGGGATAAAAATATGCCTATATCTACCGTTTAAATGCTAAAATACGTTTAATAATACTATGTTTAAGTGGTTTTGAACTATATTCTCGTTGGGTGCCCCTGACATATGGAGTCAGCAGGCACTGGTATCAAGCATCTCGGTTCCTGGCTGGATATTTCTAAGAGGAGAGTGGCGACTTTATTGCATACCACTGTCAGAAATTACAAAGTTGAGGGTGGAACTAGTCAAGTACGCTCGTAAGAAGGGCTATGCCAAGAAGAGTGACAATCGTGAAAGGCAATCCCAAACTCTTTTTTCTATTACAAGCACTCGTCTGCATGAAGTATCAAGTCATTAGGTCACCGAGATATCATCTGTTCCTCTTCGATATTCTGTATCATAGCCAAAGTAGGGTCAAATTTAGTAATGGATTATGCATGATGAAAATAGTAAATTGAGTGTATACATTAGATTTAAAGAAAATATTAAAGAAAACTAGCAGGCACAAAAGAAGTTTAAAGTTCCGACTCGGGTAGTTTTACTTCCTGTCTAGCTGGCAGCCAGTTATATCATCTCTATTCATTTTTTTTAGACAATTTGCATTCAAATAATAGCTCTTTGTATGAAAATACAGCTGCCTTCGGCATTTGCTGACATTTTCTTATCCAAGTTGCTAAAATTCAGACGTTTTAAAGAAAATGTTAACGTCACTTCCGGTTCAAAATGGCCGCCATTTTAAAACTCTTATTTTTCGCACTTAACGGACACCATATCCTATCTTTTTTAGGGCCTTGAAAACTATCATCATGCCAAATTTCATGCTTTTAACAGAAAGCGAACAATTCAAGCACATATCTGCTCTACTA